ACTCGCGTCTTGTCCACACACACAAGCATTGAACTTGGAATGTGTGGACGAGGAAATTGGGTGAAACTCGAAAATATGTGTATTTACTGAGGCCATGCAAATACACAGCAGCAATTATGACTACGGTTGACAGGATAATTTCCTACTTAATTGTATATCCGCGCAGAATGCAAAGAGAGTGGTGGGGAGTGAGATCTTGAAGGATGTCATGATGGTAATTGCAGTCGATGACTATATCACACCGAGATGCTGGCCTGCTCCCCTAACTTCAATCACCTCTGATTACTTCCGGTGACTTTTCGACAATTTGGCTGATGGCGAAAGGTATAAGAGAGTTGGCAGGAGTAGGCAGGTCAATTGGAAAGAACGTCTACGAAAATGAACATGATTCTTGTCTTTCTCGCTGTGGTAGCCGTCAGCCTTTCGGAAGGTATGTAGACAGAGTAGTGTCAGCGTTGCTTGTGGTTACCGCTGATCTTAATGATTGGTTAGCTATCTCGCTTTTGAAGGACACGGCGTTTTCTTGACAATAGTAGATTTTTTTATATTCTTGCTGATTAACAAGCATATCTGAAGACATTTCACTACGTTAAGTTTAGTGTCAAGATCTAGACCATAAAATACAATGAGTATATCCATTTGTGTCGTAGAACGTTATTTTATGACATTTCGAAAATTGTGATTTAAAGTGGCGAATGAGTGTGAATCGAAAATTGTGGATGAAATAAACCAGGTTGAAGCTGATCATCTTTTTTAATCTACGCTGATCCCTTTCCCTGCATTTTTACTCTTAGTGGCAGGAAATCCGTGCTCGGAACCGTTTGAACGTGGGCCCTGTCGTGGATATCATCGTGTGTGGGCTTTCGACCAGAGTTCGGGCACCTGCGTTCCACGCGTTTATGGTGGTTGTCGTGGCAACAACAATCGCTTCGAAGACAAGGAGACCTGCCAGCAGATTTGCCTCGGCTGAGGGACAATTCCTGTGTTATTAGACTTGACTCGAGTCAAATACCCCTTCAGTTATCAATAAATGTTTGCCTGATCCCATCACGTCTTTATGCAATTGAAAAGGATATCAGGCGTCTTTCACTGTAGTTCACCGTTCTGTTGTAATATTGCTGGACGTCTGCCATCTTCCGTTGAGTTTAAACAAATACAAAGATTATTTTAAATCTGCTGGTAAAATGCAGCACTGCTACATGCAACTTATTGCATGCCTATGTCGGTTCTAATTTTCGCAATCAATTTCTAAAACAAACTGGTCGTCAAAAATTGCGTGTGTTCTACCAGTTTTTCTATTTGCTTGATTTGATTAATGGTTATTCGAGTGTGAACAGTTAACCTTAGCTGACAAGCAAAGTGGTTAGGTAGGTTTATTCACTGGTTACGGCAGTGTGCAGTATGTCAGCAAAGTAAGGGTCTTGAGTAGCTCTAGGCAATTTCACAGTGTCCTCGATTCTTCTCACACTTCTTTTGACACTCTTTGAGTGTTTCAAAGTTGTTTCTGTTGGAATCGCATCCACCCCAGATGAATTCCCGGCACTCGCCAGTGCTGGTGTCATAAGCATACCTCCGAAAAGCCGCCCTCCCAATGCCTGAGTAAATCGGTTCAAGGCAGTCCGAGTGAATGCCTAAAATGAAGGAGAATGTCGAAAACGTAATTGGTGACTCCACATATGCCTCTTGTCACATTTTGACTGACTTTTTTTACATTTGCATCCTAATCTACAAGTAGTCATCTCCTTCATACAAACCAGGAGTCGTCGATGACTTGCGGGTTAAGGTTATGCAACAAGTTAAGTTTTTAACATTTGAAATTATCAAAGACTAAGTCCAAATGCTTCATTAATCCACGTAGCTTGCATTTGAAGTATGAGTGGTAACATGTTACGATTACTTGAGCAGATCATACCAGAATCGATTTTGTTTAAACCTGTCCCAGTTTCGATGACGTCGAATTCGGTTCAGTCGATATAATACAACGAATTTACTGAACTTCCCTCAATTTACTAGTCGAGCAAAACACCCTTACAGCGTGTTCTGCATATTACCTTACCGGCATTTGATTGGCAGGTGATTGAGCCAATGGGAATAGGCCAGTCGGCTCAGTGTGTTTTAGTGGTTTCAGTTTTTATTTGACATATCAGGGTCTTAAGCCAAGCCTCTTAGCCTGTCTTTTTAATGTTTCATTCAAGGATGTCTGAAAGTAATTATAATGAAAAGGCGAGATCATTATGTTAGATCAGCCTAAGTTTTTAGACAAAACGTGATTTATCTATCTTCATGTTCCAAACAAGTTATATATAAAATTTAACTTAAAAAAGTGAAATTCTGCCCAAATTCCTAAAATATGGGTCTTAAATTATGACAAATCCTTGCGTGAAGAATCCCAGGTTATGATGCTAAAATCTTAGGGGCAATTGTGATGTTCGTACTCATTTTCATAAATTATAATTAAACCGGCGGTTTTAGAGACCAAAATTATGAGTTCTGCTATAAGCCTAATTAAATAACAATTTCTGCAATTATATTGCTAATGCGAAAATTAATTGATATTACCACAGAAAGTATATGAAATACAATTAACACGTTGCTGTATTCAAAATGGCTTTTTAAGCGATTTCGCTACTACTGTGTTAACTCCCAAGCTGGTCGCATAATAGAGGCTAGATCAGGCGATATCACTGACTACAGGGCGTAGTTTGCTCATGATAGGACAGTGGACTTGGGATGAAAAGAATCGCCCGTTTGCTAATGGCCAATGGTTAGCTAATCTCGTGGTAGAGTAATGGATCACAATTCCATTAAGAACACTATGTTTGACCTCCAAGCACGCATTACAATCCGATGCCAATGACAAGTGTTGTCATGACTGAAAAAAAAGATTTTTCAGATTCCTCCACGCGAATTATTGACCAATCTAAAGGATGTGAGAAAGATGGCGAACCAAAATGTGTAAGATGTGTTACACTACCTCAACAAATATTGACTCTAAGTGAGTCCAATCAGCTAGTTGTCTCAGTAAACAAACGCGTCAATAGATTTGCAGGACAGACTTCGCCATTTATAGCTACTAATTTACTGACAGCCTATTTCATCACTCTAGACAAACTTTTAAATCAGAAAATCTTTTTCGCACAGCAAAATTAGGAACTAGGAGCCATAGACAATTCCCACCCCAAGCCATATTGGGTTTTCGCAGTGTGATTTGTATGAATCGCGTTTTTTGTGCACAGGGGGTCATGTCAGAACACCTGCACTTCCAGATTTACCCTCAACCGTGCTAGTGAGTCTTGTAAGGTGGTTGGAAACACAGCTGAGGTGAGTGAGCACCACACTCAGTGACTTACATGTGACTAAACCTATCCGTATGCCTCAGCGTGTGTGTGAGTTGGGTACATAACCAAGGGAGTCGTGCCAGGTGGCATCGCTACGCCTCCAATCGCAACGTGTCTGTCCATGCGAGCACCGAGATTGAGATATGTGGCCAAGGATAGAAAGTGTAAGACGTTTTCACTGATACCAAGCACATTTGCAGAAATAATTATGTGCTCTGCGTCGCAACAATAGCCACGGTTGCAATAATAACTTACTATTCGGTTGTAAATGCGATTGGAGTGGTGAGGCAAGGAATAATGATGCATGTCACCATGTTGATTGCAGTCTAAACGCGTTCGGCTTGATGATTTCCTGAGTTGACTGAAATTACTTCCGGCTATTTTAAATTTCTACATTCTGTGTCACAATTATTTTCCCTCTACAAGTTAACTGTCAAATTCATTGTTGAAATAAATATTTAATTTAAAGCTGTCTTTCCTACCCATGATTTTTCCCTTTTTCGATAAGATTCAACTACATAATTTCATTTAAAAGTATTCTGCACATCGTTTTACAAAACCTAGTTAAATTTTACATCCGATGGATAAATTTACATGCTGACATGAAATTAAGGTTTTTGTCTAGGGTTTCAGTTTCATATTTAGATTATCAAAAGCGTAAATGTTTGCGTAAAGGTAATTTAAAAAAAGGATTATCGGAAACGAACCGAAACATGTTGATAAGCCAACGAGGAAAATCACGAACACTTTGACATCCATCTGAATTGGTGTGTGCGGGAAGGTTGTTCTGGGTGTGTTAATATGCGTACCTAGCGGTGTCTAATGTCACTAACTGTGCAATTAGATTGGTAGTCACCTTGTCATCTCACAATCCACCCAAAATCGAGCTTCTCCACAGATTCTCGACAAGCTATGACATCACTGCCTCCGTAGCGAATGCTCTTCATTGGGCTGATATTTCAAAACCTTGATGGTCACAACGCAAACACGAGCTACTGTAAAAGAATTTTCGACATCTGAAACTGACCAGATAAACCCAAAACAGTTTTACCCTAAGTAAATAAACAGTTGAGTAACATAGGACGAAATCTTTGGAAATCAATTCCAGCCAATTGCGTTTTAGAGGTACTGCTTAAACTTATTCGTATGCACAGGTAACTTCTGAGGTCTCCAAATAGCCTGTGACACTCGGCATGGAAAGCTTTTGTAGTATGCCAAATACAAAGGCTGGTTTTGTTTAAACGTGATTAGGTATTCTTTAATCCAATGGCGCATTTTTTTGTTTCAAACCCAATAAAGCATGTCATTTGTCAGGTTGTCAATCAATCAATTAACCAAGATTTTATCATTATCCTCTATTTGCAGAGCAATGCAAGAAAATAAGGCTTCAAAAACTGTATTGTGAGAACAATCTAATTTATTAAATTTGTTTAATCAATTAACTCTAAGGTGCTTTTATTCACCACAAGTGAAAATTTGCAGCCGTCTTCCAACACCATTCGACACTAAATGAACTCTATGGAAAACTAAATTGCTTTTGCAGCTCCAGATTTTGAAACTTTCGGAAAATTTTAACGCAAATGCTTAACAATAACTTTCAGATATATAGTTGTGTGCAGTTGTTCATCCTTTGTTCGTACGGAGCAAATAGCCTGCTGATTTAGACATTCACTTACAATCTTAGTTTGAGATCTTATTTGGTTCCTCCTTAGTAAATTTTAATGCTCAAAATTCGTACCATTTACTAATTTTCAATGTCGTAGGTGTGCCCTAATCAAACTGAGATCATATAGACTATGCATAAGCATTCCTGATTATTTAATCCCATTAACTGTGCAATCGCAGATGTGGCATTCTCGGTTTTATGTATGGCATGCTTCATGCACAAAGTCACTCGTGTCTTGCTAAATTAATCTAAATTCAAACACAACAGCGAAAATAAGTGACGCCTTAGCTTTTCTGTTCAATCCGACAGATCTTTGTAATTAAAACGAATTCTCTTTTTACTAATCTAGTCAATAAAAGCCATCAATTAACCCGCAGTTTTGGGCACAGCCAATTGGCAAAAGACATATTTTGAAGTATCAAAGCTGGCTTCTGGATCAAAAATCTACATCCCAGACTTTAAGGAACTTTTTCCCGTATCATCCTTTGATTAAAAATGCAAGCGCATTTTTCAGTAGTGCTTTTAAATCGAAAGTTGCAGCTCAAAAGCACTGGTCTATTACCACCATGGCATATTTTGAAAATGGCCACGGAAACGTTAAGAATGTAGGGAGGTGAATTCTTTCTCTGACATCTCGAAACAAAACTTATTTGTGGTGGCATTTTCTAGATTGGCGAGTGTCAAGTTATTGTTGAGACTCCCAGAAGCATTCAGTTATTCAGATTCATTATTCGATAATCTCTGTACTAGAGATTTTTTACCATTTTGGCACTGACACTTAATCGAAAAACAACAAAGGCGGAAAAACTCTTAATTTGATAAATATCAGTTGTTATTGGAAGCCCTAGTTCAATGCAACTTTCAATTCTTACAAATCTTCATTGATGATGTCACCACCTAATTGCTTCTCCACATCTACAGACAACTCGACCCTCAAGTTATGCTAGGTAATGACGAGAAGCACTC